TGGGAAGTCAGTGTTAATCAGAGCACTTTATCAAGCTTTACATCGGTATTTATGTGCTAAGGAGGGTGAAAATCCAGATGATATACGAATTCTTCTTTGTGCATACACTGGTAAAGCTGCATTTAACATTGGTGGTCAAACAATTGCTTCTGCATTTCACCAGAAAATTAACCAAAGGCAGCAAAACATGCATTGTGATGAACTCAACACATTTAGAACTAAGTATAGAAATTTGTCAGTAGTCATCATAGATGAAATTTCAATGGTTGGCAATGCAAAGTTGGAATTTATCAATGACAGACTTCAGCTTCTTACTGGTTTGAAGAGGCCCTTTGGAGACATTAGTATTATTGCTGTTGGAGATTTCTTTCAGCTTAAACCAATCATGGATGGGTGGATTTTTCAAGATTTAAAACAAAATGCCCAAGCACTTGCATGTAATCTTTGGAAAGAAAACTTCACCTTATTTGAGTTAGATGAAGTAATGCGACAAAAGGATGATTTAGAATTTGCACAGCTTTTGAACCGTCTTCGTCACAATGAGATGACTTCTGAGGACTTGGATATAATTCACAGGTGCATCATTGCTGAAAATAGTCCAAATTATCCACACAATGCTCCCCATCTTTTCACAATGAATGCCAAAGTAGATGAATATAACAATAAACTTATAGAGCAACTTCCTGGTGAAAAAGTCATTGTGAAAGCTGTTGACAGTGTCCTCCAAGACCACAGTAAGTCTGTGAAAGACCGACTACTCAGATCATTGCAAAATCAAGATGATGTAAGCAAAACTGCAAATCTCATGACAAGACTAACTCTAGCCATTGGAATGATATATGATATTACAGTTAATATTGATGTTACTGATGGCTTGACAAATGGTTCATCATGTACTGTATTTCTTGTTGAAAACAGATTACCTGGTGTATCAAGGCCAAGTATAGTGTGGGTTAAGTTTTTAGATTCTGCAGTAGGAAGAATTGCTCGACAGAAATACCGACACCTTTACCATGATGATGTTATGGATGATTGGACACCGATATTTGACTGTCAGCGATCTTTTGTTTTTAATTCAACTACATATCAAAGAATACAGTTTCCTTTAAGACCAGCTGCTGGTAAGACAATTCATAAGGCTCAGGGCTGCACTGTTGATGAAATTGTAGTAGATTTGTCTCAGTCAAGGATAAGGAAAACACCACACATTCATTATGTAGCTCTCAGTAGAGTTAGATCTGTTGACAAATTGCATATTCTGAATTTCAATGAGCAAGCATTAACTATTGATGAAAAAGTTGTAGAAGAAATGGAAAGAATGAGGAAGGAAGCACCTCTAAAACTGTGTTATCTTCCATTGTACAAAACAGAGCAGAACAAACTAAAAATTATGTTTAATAATGCAAGATCTCTTCACAAACATTTCGATGAAATTAAAAATGAACCCAATGTTGTAGCATCAGATGTTATTGGTTTTTCAGAAACAAGATTAACCATCAATGATGAACAGAATTTTATGATGGAAGGTTACTTGACTCTGTTTAATCATGAAAAGAGAAGTGACAGCAATCGTCCACATCATGGAACAGCATTATACATTAAACAAGACCATTTGATGACATGTATCTCAAAATTCAGCAACACTTTGCTTGAATTCATCATAGCTTTAATAAATTTCAGAGACCTTGGAGAAGTGCAAATAGTTGTTTTATACAAGTTCCCAGCATGTTCTTTTAAAGAATTTGAACGTGAAGTTATGTTGCACTTAAAACCTTTTGTAGACACAGAGAAAAAATTGATAATTCTTGGAGATTTCAATTTTGATTTGTTTACAGGTCACAAAGAATTTCTGAACTTTATGAAGTTGAATTTAAATTGCACACAATTGGTAAAAAAGTTAACTCATGATTCAGGTTCACAACTTGATTTGATATTTACAAACTTCCCTCATTGTGAAACTGATGTGATAGAGGCATACTGGTCAGACCATAAAATGGTATACTGTACATATACATTGTAAATCTGATATAAGGGACGCATGAGAACTTATTTGGGGGAGATACGTCATCTTGTCCCCTCTCCCACCTACCAATGTGCCAGTGTCACTTGCTGACATTTGGTACATTGATTACTGTATACAGGGTTATATTCGCCCTGGCTGTTTTATTTTCAGCCTTTCACACAATTTTGTAACGTTTTAAATTCTCCCCAGTCACAGTTTTATTGAAGAAATCATACTGTGTCCTTTAAATTTACCCTGTTTTAAATTTGTCTATACCTTTAAGATGGATGACAGTGGGAAAAATAAATTGGGCGAATATTTCCCTGTATACAGTATCTTATAGGCACCAATTACTTGATGTAAAATCTTGTTTTTTTTAGGCATATGTATACTTTAAACTATTTTTATGCGTGAAATAGCCATCAAAACTTTGCAAACAACTCATTAATGATCACAAAACAATTGTACTAAACAGGAATCCTTCATTATGACTTTTTATTGTGGATTAATTTTCAACAGACAATTAATATATGTACAAAATAATTGAATGTTGCATGTTAAGGAAAATTCATGTACCATCAATGACCGAATCATTCATGTCAAAAATGATGATAATTGTACATATTATGTGTTAATCATTATTTATAAATTATGAATATACTTTATTGATGTTTGTGAGTTAGTTTTACCCTTACTATTTAGATTTTTTTTTTAATGATACATGAACATCATGTATTTTGAATATACATCAAATATTTTGAGATTACATGAATTATAAATGTTTACAAAGTTTAATTTAAAGAAATTAATGAGTTCTACTATATAATGATTAGAGTTGTACTTGTCTAGTAATATACACTTTGTTGCATCAAGTAATTGGTATCTTTGATATATGTTCAACACTGTATTCTATAGTTTTATGAAGTAAATTCACCGAATATAATCTGTTCATGAAAAATTGCTGTATAGAAATATTGTAAGTTTATTAATGTTACTGATCATGTGCCTTGTGTCATGTAGTCCCTGCAGAACAATACTGGAGTACATGAGAGTATAAACTCTTATAGTATATATGAATTTATATTTTTAACAGAGGAAATGTAATAACAATTTTAGTGACAATATTCTTATCAATGTAATTCAAGTCTTTATGTAATAATTACTTTATAATCAACTTCATGTATTTTAGATACCACAATTGCTGAGGCTTTAAACAGGCTTGGTGGTCAACAAATTATCCAATAAATGCAACTAAAAATGAAATACTATTACTTGCAAGTGTTTACACACTGAGTATTTAAAGCCATTATCTATGATTTTATACGAGCTCCCAGAAATTAGATTACTGATCATGACCATCCAGCATACTTATTGATTTTTGTTTAGAGTGACTTGTTTGTTTTGTAGCTGAATTAGAATTTAAATGATACATGAATTTTGAGAGCACAGCTCGTTTAGAGATTTTTTTTTGGATATATATCATTTACATTATTTTGTTTTGAAATAATGTTCATTGTATGTATGAAACTTTGTGTTGAAATATTTTGACTTGATTATTTATCTTTTCTGATTTTTTGTCTTAAAATGTTCATTGTATTTTTGTATTTCAAAACATTCAGAAACTGCTTTAAACATTTACTTTTACTAGCTTTAGTTACCTGTGTAGAATAGGAAACCAACCTGCATAATCAGAGAGAAACTGACAACTCATTCTAAGTTACTAGTATATTGCTGAATTCAGTTAACTCCATATTAATTGATATTTCATTTTCTCCAGCATTGAGATATTTAATATGTGACCACCATTATATTATCACTTATACCCAGGTAAGTTTGAAAAGAGGGGGTCAATGGACAGCCCGTAAAGGGAGGTAAACCTACCTCTTTATAACATTACAATTTTTCCTATAAAACAGAGGAAAAAAGGTGGATCACTATAATTTCTCATGACTGGTCTTTAAAATCAAAATTATTGAGTGCAAAAAGATCTTAATCATTCCATTTTTATATATAACCATCAAGTTTAGGTAATCTGATTCCTGCAGGTACTCTAAAGAAATGTTACTTATTAAAAATTCTTTAAAAATAATAGTTGATATTCAAAGTCAGAGTCTGTTGACCATCATATTATTATTCACTTTCAGTTGCAGTCTTTCCAATTTTCGCTTTCGTTATGTATAGGAAAGATTTACTATTAAGTGAACTTAAAAATAAATACAGTGTATTTCATATCTTTCAAATGATTACTTTGATGTATTGAACTTTACTCTAAACAAATGTTTGAACTGTTTACAAAGCATATATGTGTACATGTAATGTTATTGTCAGAAAGTTTTGCATTTCTGTCACAAAATTGTTGCAATATTGCACATTTGATACTTTGTGCATATATATCTGTTGAAGTCATATGAAATTTAGATAGTTGATTGTTATTAATGCTTCTTAGTTTTTTTTATATTCTCTACTAATTCTCTGATAAATTTTCACCAAATCTGTTGAATTTTGTATAGAAATAAAAGTTTAAATCTTATTCACATTTTCTGTTTTTATTATAACTTTCATAGCTAATGTTACATCCGCCCAAAAAGGAGAGAAATGTTTTTGTTCAGTAAAAGCATATTACACTTCAGAGTTGACAGTACAGGTGCTATATTCTGCAGAAATACTGAGATTGACCTCTTTATGACTAAATTGATAATGAGGTAGGCATTAAGCACTGGTTGAAAAGAAAGCCATTCTTGGCAATTTTATGCTTAGATCAAGCCCAATTGCAGTAAATGAATAAAAAGAGGAAGTCCCTACTCTAACATCTACATGCATAATTCTTGCAGGTAAAGGTCTTTCACTCAGGTGATTCTTCGTATTCAGAATTGTATGAAAAGCTTTAATTTAAATGTATCAACTATATTTCTTTACTTAATTTTGTATTTTTCAAAAATATATTTTTTTGATCAGTTACACCATATATGGCTTTAATCATGTGATAATTGTTTTTCAGATGACAATGTCTGATACAGTAATTCAAAAATGGAAAAAACAGCAATAATCATTTGTGAAAGAAGAATAAATGGATATCACCTGACACAGTTTAATTTCTCTGATAGTAAAGTAATTTGTTTTGTTAAGAAAATAATTGTATAGCCTGCACAACATCACCATTTGCTCCTTTTTAGCTCACCTGAGCCGAAGGCTCAAGTGAGCTTTTCTGATCAAAATTTGTCCGTCGTCTGTCGTTGTCGTTGGCGTTGTTGGCGTCGTTGTCGTTGTCGTAAACTTTTCACATTTTCATCTTCTTCTCAAGAACCACTTGGCCAATTTCAACCAAACTTGGCACAAAGTATCCCTGGGTGAAGGGGATTCAAGATTGTTCAAATGAAGGGCCACGCCCTCTTCCAAGGGGAGATAATTATGAATTAGTGAAAAATTAATAGCATTTTTAAAAAATCTTCTTCTCAAGAACCACTGGGCCAGGAAAGATGAAACTCATGTGGAATCATCCTCAGGTAGTGTAGATTCAAATTTGTTCAAATCATGACCCCCGGGGCTAGGGTGGGGCCAAAATGGCCGACCAAAGTTTTACATGGGAATATATAGGAAAATTCTTTAAAAATCTTCTTCTTAAGAACCACTGGGCCAGGAAAGATGAAACTCATGTGGAATCATCCTCAGGTAGTGTAGATTCAAGTTTGTTCAAATCATGACCCCCGGGGTTAGGGTGGGGCCAAAATGGCCAACCAAAGTTTTACATAGGAATATATAGGAAAAATCTTTAAAAATCTTCTTAAGAACCACTGGGCCAGGAAAAATGAAACTCATGAAGGATCATCCTCAGGTAGTGTAGATTCAAATTTGTTCAAATCATGACCCCTGGGGCTAGGGTAGGGCCAAAATGGCCGACCAAAGTTTTACATAGGAATATATAGGAAAAATCTTTTAAAAATCTTCTTCTCAAGAACCACTGGAATTGGAAAAATGAAACTCATGTGGAATCATCCTCAGGTAGTGTAGATTCAAGTTTGGTCAAATCATGACCCCCGGGGCTAGGGTGGGGCCAAAATGGCTAACCAAAGTTTTACATAGGAATATTTAAGAAAAATCTTTTAAAAAAATCTTCTTCTTAAGAATCATTGAGAAAGGAAATATGAAACTTAAATGAAATTATCCTCAGGTAGTGTAGATTCAAGTTTGTTCAAATCATGACCCCTGGGGCTAGGGTGGGGCCAAAATGGCTGACCAAAGTTTTGCATAGGAATGTATAGAAAATTTTGTTAAAAAATCTTCTTCTCAAGAACCTTTGGGCCAGGAAAGACGAAACTTATGTGGAATCATCCTCAGTTAGTGAAGATTCAAGCTTGTTCAAATCATTACCTCTGGGGCTAGTTTTGGGCCCAAAATGGCTGACCAAAGTTGTACACAAGGATATATAGGGAAACCTTTCAAAATCTTTTCAAGTACTTCAAAGCCATGATTAGTGATATTTTTCTATTTATATGGAATCATCCTCAGGTAGTGTAGATTGTACATTGTTCAAATCATGACACCCAGGAGGGTTAAAATTCAAGCCCCCCCCCCCCCTCCCCCAGTAAACTTTCAGTTTTGATCTGATATGTGCTTTTTCCTAGTAGATGTGCTCAGGTGAGCGATGTGGCCCTTGGGCCTCTTGTTTAAAGATATTTCTGTGACTCTGTAAATGTAGAGATAAGACACACATTCCATTCTTTTTAATGAGGCCTGGTAGTTCATTCAATTTAAATACTAGTACATGTATTTCTTAACATCTGAAAAGGGGAAAAAAATTCCTCTTTCATGTCAAATGTTGTTAGAATTCTACAGTTGGTAGCTTAATTTAATGCGTTCAGCTATAGTTGAACATTCTTATCTTGAACACTGATATGTTGAATTAATTCTGGGAAATTGTTGAAGTGAGTCAACCATGCCAACCTTGTTATGAAAATGAATTTCAACCTCAATATCTCAAATTTTGGATATCTTTGTTATCATATAATCCTGCCAAGCTTGAAATATGTAGGTTGAAATGTATTTTATGCCATTGTCCTGTCTCTGTACTATTTCAGCATTTTCAACGAAAAATATGACTGTAAATATTGATACATTTTCTGAACAATGGTGAAAGTCATATATTGAGATGATATAAGTTTTCATCTGACAGCAAATGAATTACATGTACATCTAGGGGAGATAAATCATTTTGAATTTTTTTAGTAGAACAAAATTGAGTTTTAATAGAAATTATTTATTATATCTTCTTTTTCTGAAAAATTCTGTATTCGTAAACTTTGTTTAAAAAATTCATTCATAAAATTTGTTTTGATGAAGGCGCTTGATTTGGTGCTGTTATGTTAAGCTGTTATCCATCCAATGGCTTGATAGGCTTGTCATTGCTTAACTTGGCTGAACCTGAGTAAAACTTCACCAGATTGCTAGAAAAGCCATTACTGTATAATGCATATGAAGAACATGTGTACATGTTTTATAATATCGAGGTCAAAATACATGTACCATTAATCTGTTATTGCTTTAGCAATGGTTTTTAATTAGGCCATAAAAAATTTCTTGGTTCTCAGGACCTCCCTCATCTCTTCCAAGGGTGCCTCATTGACCCTTTTTATTGCTAAATCAATAAAATAAAAGCAACAAATCACTTTCCTCATCATTTTTTTGAGGTTTTGTACAATGTAAAAAACTGTCTCTTCATGTTAAATTTTTTTTTAAAAAATGCTTCCCTCCATCATATTTCTTGAAAAAAAGGCCTGAGAACCAAGGAATTAAATTTGCATGGCCTTTATTGTAGAACAAAACATATCTCTCTTGAAAACTGGTGTTAATCTGCTTTGTTAAAATGTTAAATATATAAATTATATTCCTTTGAGAATTATGAAATGCATCATATTATAGAAATTGACTATTTTTAAGCATTTATATATAATGTATTTTGTACCTGTGCATTGTTTTGTTATGAAATAATTGTTTTTGCTGCATAGTGAGGTGTAGATTTTAAAAATTATTTTATTTCATTTTTTTTTTTAAATATTATATCATTGCAAAACAAATTGAAATCTTGACTGCTCCATTTCAGTTTAGTTTTTTAAAGGGATTTTCCCTTAGTGTTGTCCTACAAAAGTGTCATATTTCAATAACAACTGTATTTTTTAATGGAATTTTATAAATATGACTTTTCACTAGTTTTAATTTATGCGTAGAAGGATTTGTGTAAATTGTACATGAATGTTTGGCAGTTGTGAAAGTTTGTAGTCAAGCTTTTAGGAAAAGCTGTTAAAACATACATTACAATGATAGTTTTAGTTTTTGCCAATATGTTTATATAGGTTGCTGATGAGAATTAATTTGCAAGGAGGAAATATAAACAAAATCCTCCTTTATCCTTTCATGGACTTGGAATCTCTTATTTTTAGAAATGAATGGGACAATTTTACATGAGGAATTAAAACTCTGCATATAAGTATTTAATACATTGTAAATCATGCTGCAATACTTATATTTCAAAAGGACAAAATTTAAAACTACTTGGTAAGCATTTGATGAAACTGAATCATTTCAAATCCAGTATCAAATGTAAAATCCTGACATTAATTTTTAAAATGTTACTTTAATACGAACAGGAATATAATGTATTTCAACTTTTGTTAGTCACCTTAACAGCTAAATTAAATGCGAGATAACAAAAGTCTTGACTGTAGTGACTTCTAATGATTTGTTAAATGTTTATATTTTCCAAAATAAATAAAATGTCTTTCATTATATGTATGTTTTATTTAAGTTTTTGGAATTCAGGATTGAAGAGGCTGACAGTAAAATCCATCGTGTAAAAGGGTGAACACTGTAATGCCTACATGAGTAACTACGCCAGACTGTGTTTTCCCTTTATTTCAAAGTAAAGGGTTAAAGATCAATTGTTACAGGCTATGGGTTGATGTTTATGAACACAGTATCAGTCAACCTTAAAACAATTCTTAGCTGGATCTTGGGGAAAACAGTTAGCTCGACTAAGAATTGATATTAAATTGATCTCGATACAATCCACATTGAAGTATTAAAATTTTCCATCCATAAATGGATCATATGGGTCTTTCCTATTGAATATTAACTATTTACTTATCATCTGAATGGTGGTCATTTCAAAGGGCCCCGCTTTCATCAAGGAACATGAAAATATTTGATAGCTAAAAGGCTTTATTTTAAGGAGGAACATTTGTGTACTGTAGTTGAATCCACACTTTTCAAAAGTTATGTCCCTTGGTTGCCATCTTTGGGGAAAAACCCACAGAATCCTCACAGTAGCCTTTTAATATACGGTAGTTTTTTGGTTTGTAACTTTGTCATCTGACTGGAAAAATTATGTGCATCTTGTATAATGATTGCCCCAAAATGGGATTACACATACATGTATATCGAAAGAAAAATATTGAACACGGTGGATTTATCAGAGCACACCCAAATGTTTAGTACTGTAGCATAAAGACGAGAAATGTCATTGCTTTCCCTTTTGGTTGACCCCACAAAGGGACTTAACTATTTAAGGAATGTGTTGTTTGAGGCTAAAAGCAGTGTTTGAATAATCGGAAACGCACAAATTCTGTAATGGCGAAAAGATTTGCACATATTGACGCCCTGCTGGACGTGTTAAATTTTTCCATAAATTAAAATTCAGATATTTGATAAAACTCTCTCAAATCAACTAATTATTACTGGTTGCAAAGTGTAGCAAGCAAACAGGTAGAATTCATCAGCCTATACATTTGGGATTGAGTATATAGTGAGCTGGCCCCATGCACATTATTGTTCAAAAACTTACTTATAAACCAGAAGTCTCTGTCGATACTGAAGCTCTACTGGTTTGTACTTATAGCATAGGAAGAGAAAAGTACTTAAGCAGTTGGAAGTTGAAACTTTTCAACAGCAATAAATAGAAAAATGATCCTTGATTAAGTCTCTTTATGTTCTTAGTGTAGTCTACTTGCATGCCACATTATATTATAATCAGTATGAGACTAAAACTGTATTTGGAGTAGCATTTTATAGTATTTAACAAAATTATTTTTAGTAACCATGGCAACACCATTCATTAA